AAATAAAAAAAAATTTATCAAATTTAATAAAATAGTTATTAAGATATTTAAGCTTAAAGTCAAGAAAACTTTTACTTGAAAAAAATTTGGTTCTTTTCTATTAACTTTCCTCATATATATAATATTACACTATATAAATATCTTAGATTTTTATTCAGAATAAGATTATAGATATAATCATTTAAATAATTATAAGAAACAGTTTGTTATAACATAAATATAATTTTTAAATTTTATTATAAATAAGATTTAAATATTAAACCTTACTTGAAGGTTGACAACTTATTAACTATACCAAATTATTATATTTTAATTGTTTTTATATACTTATATTGTTTGTTTTATATAAAAAAAATATAATTATAAAATTTTAATACATAATAATAAAATAATAAAAAGTTTTTTTTAATAATATATAGTCTGACCTTTTTATAATCACATTTCCAAAATACTAAAACTGGTAATTATATAGAAGTATAACAATTATAAAAACACTATTAAAAAAAGTAATTAATAATTATATAAAAAATTTATTAAATAAAAATTTAAAAAAATTTTTTTTTAATTGATTAATAATAGTTGCTCTATATAAAAATCAAAACTTTATTAACTAAATCGATCTTTTGATATTAAAATATATATATATAATAAACAATTTTACTTAATATTAGAAGATCGATTTAGTTAATAAAGTTTTGACTTTTATATAAAGCAATTGTTATCAATTAATTAAAAAAAAATTTTTAAAGCTTTATTTAATAAAAAACAATAAAAATAATAAATAATAATTTATTTTTTAAGATATATTTATTGAAACAAAAGTTTTAATTATTTTATAATTATAATGTAACTATATAGAAAACATTATATATAAATGATTAGTAAAAAATTATGATAGTGACTATAATGCAATTGTATATAAAAAAAGTTGGTAAATTTATAAATGTGACTGTAGAAAAGTCAGGCTGTATTGCCAATAATTTTTTAAAAACAATACTTATAAAAAAGGTATGATTAAATAAAAACAACTGTACATACATAATACATATATATTAAATTAAAACTATATAAAATACAGAATAGTATCCGTAGTCACTATCAAATAAACCAAATAATGTTCAGCCTACGTCAGTACTAAAAGTAACCCAAAAATAAAATAAAATAAATATTTATCTATAAATATGATGTCTAAGTTAAGATATTCACCAAAAATGCACATCAAAATGAAATGCGTCTTTTGAAAAAGCAAACATACTTGAATTGTCATATATTTTAGTAAAAGCAAACATACTTGCAAAGTTGGCATATTTGTCCATTGGCATGAACGAACCCAAGTTTATTAACCAGTTCCATTGGACAGTTACTATTCCAATGACCAATTGGTAAATAAAACAATAATTCAGTAATTATAAATGAGTTTAGAATACTATACCATATGAAATTCGAAAATTTTTTTTTTTTGGTGTTGGCCTTCTTGGTGTCCCATCATTTAGTAAGAGCTTACAAAACCATACCGATAAAATGGGGCAAAATAAATAATATAGAGGTATGTAATCTCAAAAAATACAAACCTTACGCCCTAGATCACGCCATATCAAGTTCTATATTGCGACGTGACCACATCCCGAATGGATGTCAACCATGCTCCCTCCCGCGCATGGTCGTATGCGCTTCTCCCACATGAATAATACAAAATGTTAACGTATTCTATGTCATATATTCTTAAGAAATATTAACAATATATTTAATATACTTGCCAGTTAATAAAATGAAGAAGAACTTTTCGCGGTTTTATATAACATGTTAACATATTCTATATCATATTTTTAAAAAGCATTAACAATATACTTGATATACTTACCAATTAATAAAATGAAAAGTTTTTTTTGCGTATGAAGTTTTTAACTTGTGTAGTGAGTCAACATGTCTGCATACCATACAAGTTAGACGTGACGAAATGTACTTCGTTTTGTGACAGCATACGATCTATAAAGAATGTTAGATTAACATTTATTATTTTTATAAAAGCATTAAAGAACAATAAAAACCAAAAAAACAGTTTATAAAATAAATAAAAAATAAAGCTAAAAAAAATTAACGAGAGTAAGAGGTAAGACGAGGGTTTTATATACCTAATATCGATCCTTTTTTAGGATCACCAAAACATTTGATATACTGATCATATAAAATCGTGTGATTTGAACGATAATAAATAATAGTACGTACTATTATTAACAATTACTAAATAGAGACATGCCTCATATTTCAGTACACTGGTGATTTTGGCAAATTACACGTTGTTTCTTTTTTATCGTTATCCAATAACTTATACAGTATATATACATGTCAATAGAGTGGGTTTAAAAATATGGTTATAAATTTGGAACAACCAGAAGCAGGTCTAGAGCAGGGACAGTGATTTTCTATGACTCACAGAAAACTACAGAATTTCTCTTAAACACAAAATCACCACAGAATTTTAAAATCTCGCCATCGGCGCGAGAAATTCCGGAAAGGTAAACAATAAGCCAACGTGAATAATGGCATGTTCGTCGGGGAGTTACGGAATTATATGGAATTATGTTTTAGAAAAATTAGATGAACATGCATATTTAACACAGAATTACAAAATGGCATTATATAACTGCACAGAAATTACAACAAAATGAGCGAGTTTAAAATAACAATTACACAAATAGTGCAACTTGCGGGCGTGATTGGAACATGAAAGAATAAAAGCTGATAAAAATACCTATAATTATTGGTCATGCGATGAAAAAATTCTATTCCATTTCGGTAAAATAATCATTATCGACAAACGCCTTATTATTGAGGGCTAGGAATCTACTGGTATTTGTAGTTGACTTGAGTCAGTCTAGTCGATGTAGCTGCCTCCTGACTTAGTCTATACTTGCCGCCCAAATCTCAAGCCCAAACTAATATCTCAAAACCTTTATTAATAAACTTTATTTGAACAAATAATATATATTCTTATAGCTATATATAATATATTTACAAAATATAATATCAAAATTATTTTTTGTTGATTTGATTTTTTATAAAAACAAATTGTTTTGGGGGGTTTGGGGTTTTGCTAGCTAGTATAACTTAGTCGACTAAACAATTCCATGCTGTTAATTAGATTGTCGCTATTGTCCGTGATAAATTTTATCGTTTAATAAAAAGATCTAACCAATAATAAGAAGACATTTGGATGCGAGCTCCTAAGAGACTTAGTCGACGTTTCAATGACTTAGTCGATGTGATCGACTCAACCACTAATCTTCACCCTTAGCCGACTTCGTGAACCTTTCTCTTTTCCGCAATTGTATCCATTCCAAATTGGTAGACATTATTGCCCAAAGGATTACCATGTCTTCCAGCTTTCAGAAACCATTCGAAAGCATCTCTATCGTTCTTAGTCATACGGAAGCGTAATATTGTCCATTAGAATTACTTTCAGCATATTAACTCCTCTTTGACATTGGCACTATCCAGTAGAGGATTCCGATAAGTATAGGATGTGACGTAATCTACTTCGCCCAACCGAGGGTAGCATTTATATACATCCAACCAGTTTTTTAAGAATTAGTATAAAATGAATAACCTATTAATAAATTAAGTAGTTCTTATAATTACATAATGTATCTTCGCCTATTTGCGCGTTATTTTGATTGTATGCAGGTACGTGCATGTATGTACGTTATATTTGAGATAAAGCATATCGGCTGACCCGTCAATTATATATAATTATGTCTATTTATCAAAATCAGCCGATATGGGCTGATCGTCCGACAATAGGAAGATATTTTTGTGTGTGATTAACTGATTTACAATTTCGACATCATGCATTTTATTTAGGTGGTACGATTTTCAAAAAATAAGATTATTCGTTACATCTTTGGAATTTCACTACATTGAAACCGCCTAAAATTTTTCTTAATCGTTTAACCGTTTAATTTGGCCGGCATTAAAATAATTCCGGCCCACGACCAACATAATTTTGCTCGAAATTATGGAGCAATTTTTAAACGGTTAAACGGTTCCAATCCCTAGTATCAGTAAGTTATCTAGTTGTTATAAAAGTAATTTAGGCTTTAATGAACAAGTAAGAAAAAATTTTTTTTTCATCAGTAACACCATAAATTTGAATACGTAGGATGTTTTGATAAGAACAAATATGGGTTTGGCCGTCAGTGAAATAGGTGTTGGCGAAATCTACCATTTCACTGACAGCCCACTTCTCTAACACCGACACTGACAACCACTTCATCGACTTCACTTCCCTGACAGCTCATTCCCTGATAGTTCATTTCGCTGATAATTATATTTTGCAGATTTTCTATTTCACTATCAACCTCTAGCAGGACCCCGGATAATTCTAAGGCAGGTGGGTAAAAACTAGGTATTTGTTCTGATCAAAATTAAAATTTAATTTTGACCAGAACTTGGCCCCAAAAAATACCCAGTTTTTACCCTCACCTACTCTATAAGCCGAATTTCCGGTACGCAGACAACCAATCAACTTCATGTTTTTAGCCCCCAAAATTGTTTGCAGTTATGTTGGCATCAAAAGTCCGAAGATTATACGTACGTCGGACATTTTGAGGTGGTACAAGATCGTGATTTCAAAGGACCCCAAAAAGTGAGCGAAGAAATAAAAGGATAGAGAAGCCGTGTGCTAAAAAAAAAAATTTTCGAAGATTATCGAGCAACCCGATTTAGTCTTCTTATGGTACCATGTACACTTAGATTAATAATGTCGAGAAAATGCAAATTTGCCTGCAAAACAGAGTAAGGGATAAAGCGGGCCAACCCTAACACAAAATTGGGTCAAAATTGTCGGGGAGATAGGCTATCGGGGAAGTGAAGTTTGGGTCGGAGAAATGCGTTGTCAGAGAAGTGAACTGTCGTTGGAATAGGTGTCGGCGAATTAGGAGTCGGAGAAATGGGGATGAGGCAACAAATCTATACTTTGTAATAGTGTAATCTTTATTGCTTGTAAAGATTAATAGTAAATCTTCTAATGTGTACAATTGCTACTTTAACAAAAGATTTCCTAGTTCAACGATGTATATATATAGTTCACTAAATAATCTAAATCTTATTTGACGGTGACACTAAGCTGTTTAAATTTGGGTAGTATTTTTCGCAATTAAATTGCAAGGGTACGTGACTGTCAATGCAATGACAATTATCTCGTTCATATAAATAATATATTGTAACAGTATCATTTTTCACTATACAATATAACCTTGATATAACGAATCTCAATAAACAGAAAGTGTTATTATAAGGAATATTTTTTCCAGCTAGAATTTTTTTAGTTTAGAAAAATAAACCGAAATATTTATAGTAATGAAACATTGTGTAACACACTAGATATAAAGTCAGTGTAACCATATTTAGCCAATAGCATTACAGAATTATAGCGTAACAAGTTTTGTTACACAATAATAATGCAATTTAATTGGCTAAATTTATTTAAAAAAAATTTATTTCTACGTATTATAACGCTGAAAATTTTAAAGACTTATAAATTTAAAATTGTATCTTCTCAACAATAAGCAAAAAAATCTTAACGTTAAAACAAAATACGTAGTTTGATAGACCTTATTAAAAGCTATTAAAACACGTATTTTTTTTTAAGAAGATGCAATTTAAAAAAATTAGTAATAAATATGATGTCTTTAAACTGTTCGCATCATATATAAATTCGTTATATCGAGAGATACTTGTAAGCCGAATATTTTATATAATTATATATAAATTCGTTATATCAAGAGAACCTGATATATCGTAATATAGATATGACGAAGCAAAACCTCCAACTCAGAGCTTCGTTATATCGAAGTTATACTGTAATTCAATAGTTTGGAATTTGAGACTTACATTTTCATAAATAAGCAACATGATTTCTTTCATAGTTTGTTAATGCTATATCGTCCTTTAGTATTTAAGAGAAATAATACAGTCTGCCCTTGTTATAACGGATTTTTTATATCTTGTTATAGCGGAGAAATCTTTTAAAATTTCCTAAGAACAATTTAGAACTTCTATTATACAATATAATATTATAGCGGATATTTCATTCTAACGGATTTATAACAAGATTTTCCAGCTCGATCACTGCGCAATAAGAAAAATTTTGTTAAAATATAAAATCTAAAGTTTTAATGTTTTAAATAAAGCAATATGATGATAAAGATAGTATAAGTTTCGCCGAATTATAAATAGTTAAAGATAATTCGATAGTTAATGGAATGAATGTAGAAATTAGTACATTATGAAAGAGTCAAAAAGGGCTTTAATGCAAAATTCCAACTCATTCTCGTTATCGTTATAGTGAACTCTCAATAGTGAAGACCAATTAAAATCTCAATATAGTGAATTTACTAATCAAACTCTTTGATATAGTGAATTGTCAAAAAATTTTTATTAATGGAACGAATCACTCTACTATGGTTGTATCATTGATTTGTTTAAAGTCATCAATATGCAATTACAATTATGTTCTGGTTTTTTATAATAATTTACCTTTCCATCGTTTGTAAATATTGTCATCTAATCCAAATGGTTGGCAATCGGCCAATCAAATCAATCGATACACAAAATAATCTGATAAAAATACGTAATTAGTGATTACGTACACCTTGTAAAATTATAAATACTGTCTTTAACGTTAACTTTTTACAAATAAAAATTCGAAAGTTAATTTTTGCAAATGGTATGTGTAGCTGCTTGTACTCGTTCGTTAATTTGTCAGACGAATTTCAAAGACAGAAATCGCTTACGCTCTTCGATCCTATAGGGTAATACGCAACCTGGCGGTCTTCCTCCACTTGGTGGTCCCGGCGGTGATGATAAGAACAAAGAGGATAAGGTTTTTTTTATTCTATTCTCTGCACGATCTTGTTATAAGCAAAGTCTATGAACTCATTAAATACTCGCATACAGGATAAAGATAAGAAAAAGAAATGGGAACCACCACTTCCAACTCGTGTTGGTAAAAAAAAAAGAAGAGGCCCCGACGCAACGTCTAAATTACCTGCTGGTATATAAGCCGTGAATAATTTCATATATTTTTCCGTGAGATGTTTGTCCAATTTTCTTGACGATCACTTGCCCTTTGATAGTCTTTCCTACAACGCGGTGTCGACTGAAACTTTTAAAAATGGAACGTATAAAGGATTATTTACTGATGGAGGAAGAGTTTGTTCAAAATCAAGAAAGATTAAAACCACAAGAAGAAAAAGCACAAGTAAGTATCTGTTTTATTTTATTATAATTTTTTATATCATAAAATTATTTTTGACAATGATAATGTTGACTATTCTCAGGAAGAAAGAACCCGGGTAGATGATTTACGTGGTTCCCCAATGGGTGTGGGATCTCTGGAAGAAATCATTGATGATGATCATGCAATAGTTTCTTCTTCTACGGGACCAGAATACTATGTCAGCATCTTATCATTTGTAGATAAAGATTTATTAGAACCAGGATGTTCAATTTTGTTACATCATAAGGTATATACAAAAACGCGTATTTTATTTGTTATTTTATTGGTCTACTTATTTAACATATACACCTAATAGGCAATGTCTGTTGTCGGTGTACTTCAAGATGATACTGATCCGATGGTTAGTGTTATGAAACTTGAGAAAGCACCTACAGAATCGTATGCAGATATTGGTGGTTTAGAACAACAAATTCAAGAAATCAAAGAATCCGTAGAATTACCCCTAACACATCCAGAACTTTACGAAGAAATGGGTATTAAACCTCCGAAAGGTGTTATCCTATATGGGGTCCCTGGAACAGGTAAATTCAACATTTCTATCAACGAGGTATATACAGATCAATAGTAAATATCTCTGTATGTGCAGGTAAAACGCTTTTGGCTAAAGCTGTGGCGAATCAAACATCTGCAACTTTTTTGCGCGTTGTTGGTTCAGAATTGATTCAAAAATATCTTGGAGATGGTCCAAAACTTGTACGCGAATTATTTCGTGTTGCCGAAGAACATGCGCCTTCCATTGTATTTATTGATGAAATTGATGCTATTGGAACTAAACGGTATATAGACATGAATCTTATTCTGATTGAATTTATAATTTTAATTGTCATTATTTTATTAATTTATTATTATTTTTTTAAAAAAAAAATTGTCACCATTTAATTATAGATATGATTCTAATTCAGGTGGTGAAAGAGAAATTCAAAGAACTATGTTAGAACTTCTGAATCAGTTAGACGGGTTTGATTCTAGAGGAGATGTCAAGGTTAACTAGCTTGTAGGAATTTCCTGCTTATATTAATATGTAAATAAATTATTAATTCGATTTTTTATGTTTATAAAGGTCATCATGGCAACAAATCGTATTGAATCATTAGATCCCGCTTTGATTCGCCCAGGACGTATTGACCGAAAGATAGAATTTCCACTTCCAGACGTAAAAACGAAACGTCGTATTTTTAATATTCATACGGGGAGAATGACATTATCAGATGATGTGGATCTTGAGGAATTTGTAATGTCTAAAGATGATTTGAGTGGTGCTGACATTAAGGTAAATTTATTAACAAAATATAGGCCTTAAAGGGGTAAACATAATCATTATGTATTTATTTTACTTTCTATATGATTTAGGCTATTTGTACTGAGGCAGGTTTGCTTGCTCTACGGGAACGTCGCATGAAAGTAATCGCCGAAGATTTTAGGAAAGCGCGTGAGAAAGTTCTTTATCGCAAGTCTGAAGGTACACCCGAAGGATTATACCTTTAGTCTAGAAATAGTAAGTTGGTTTGGGTTTGGTTTAGATTCTAAAATTCCTAGATTCCAAATTAAAAACTTAAGAACCAAAGTTCTTATATAATAAGCTTCAAATCCAAGATAAACTTGGTTTGGTTCAAAATCAAGATTTAGGCTGGTTTGCAAGACATAAAAAATCAAAACTATATTAATAAAAAGCTACTTAATTTATATCAAACTTTTAGAATAAATATATTGATCTTTTAAAAATTTGACTTTTATAAAGTAAAAAGAGGTAATACGGCGATGTTAGAGGTTTGTAATTTATTTAAATCAAATAAAGTGAAGTGGGGTAATATGACGCACTTGTGTTTTTTAATGATATACTGCAATACACAGATCAAAATCGGAAAATTTTAATACCATTCAATCCGTCTTACTGAGACGAATCGAATGGTACCAAATTCATTTTATTTTATCAAAAAAAAACATAAAGTTGTTAAATTTGTTAAATATTTTGGGTTCCGATCCCAGCAAATTTGACCTGTTGTAGACCTGATTGGTGGCAAAATTTTTTATATTACGTTTACATTTGCATATCAGACATGACTATACTTAGTAGTAGTTGATCGTTAAGCTTCTTAATGATCAACTCAATTATACTTAATGGCAGTTGATTGTTAAGATTCTTAACAACCAATTTAATTATATTTAGTAATAGTTGATTATTAAGGTTTTTAATAAATACTAAATTTCTAATTAATTTATTATTTATTGTT